AGCTATGTTAGCCTGACGCAGGTCTATAGATTTTACATGGTGTACTCCTCGGCTTTCTAACTCCATCGGAATTCAAATAAATTAGCCCGTGCAGGCTTCTCCGATCGCATACAAATGAGGACAGTACTGTTACCAGTTTTGTAGTTATCTATAAGAGTAGGGCAAAACAATACGTCGTTTAAAAAATCATTGTTTTTTATAAGCTCGGTAAATTTGTATCAAGAAGATAAATGATACTTATCTTCTATCTGACTGTAATGTGCAATTGTAAAAGCTTTTAAGTACATGTATTATCTATCCACCTATCTAATGATGATATCTATTTTATCCATCTGTCTATCCATTCATCTGCATAATAGGAATACGTTATATCACTACCAATCTTCATCTATCTAATATGATGAAAATGAATGTTCATTCTACATGCTGGGACATCGGGACTACATCGTGTGACCATCCTATCCTAATGCTGAGGTCGTTTTGTTCTCAATTACATATGTCAAATTTGTTCAGTCTTATCATGGAACACAGTGGTTTTACAGAATTTTCTAATTTATTATGTAAATTAGAGCGTCATTTAATTATGTCAATCATCACTTAAGCTACTCACATACCAAAAATCATGACGATTCCTGAACGGGTTCTTGAGTTATCCTCCTTGAAGTATCTTTCAACAACATGCCCCTGTTGTTCCAGAGCAAGCCGCTGGGGGTTCCCTTTGTTTAATCGGCAATTATACGCCGTCTGCAGTCATGCACGTGTTGCTGCATGTGTCTTTATTTTTACCGTTGCTGCTTTCGCGGTCAATGTAATATTTTAGATGCACCCCTACATTTGAGGGCATATTGGAATGGCTGAGAAAAACCCGTTGTTTTGAATAGCGGGGAGGGGGGGGGGGTTCCAAGCAGACACTACGGTATGTCGTTTATCAAAACCAGATGCTCGTGGCCCATTCTTACTCCGTAAAGGAGGTCAGGACCTCCGGACGGAGTATTGTGAGTAGCCGTTTTTTCGTGTTCGCAGCTAGAACACGGGGTTCTCTTTGTGTAATCGCCATGCAATTTTATACACCTTCTGCAGACATGCCCGTGATGATGCACAAATGTGTTTTTTTGCCGTTGCTGTTTTCGCGGTCAATGTAATATTTCAGATGCACCCCTACAATTATGAGGCAAATTGGAATGGTCCAGAAAAAACCGTTGTTTGGAATGGGGGGGAGTTCAAATTTCATGCAGATGTGGGGAGGGGTCGATAAGTGGTACCAGATGTTTAGTCCCCATGTTTAACGTATGAGGCCGTTTTGAAGATGTTCGCAGCCAAAACGCTAGCATTTCTGTGTAATCGGGCATTTAGTGTGCCATTATGTCCGTGATGATGCACGTCTTTTTATTTTCACCGTATCAGTTTTGATATTGAAGTAAATACATATTTTAGAAACATCCCTACTTTTACAATCCTGTGGAATAGGCCGTAGGTTTAGGTAGTTGTCTTGTAGCCGAGGTTCTCTAAGCAGATATTAGGTGGCTGTTGTGCATAATGGTTGCGAGTATCTTTTGGGATAGTGGTTTGCACCTACTGCGATACCTTGTCAAATGAATAATATGTAGTAAATGGAAGATAGTGTTATGAAAGCTGACTTTGTTCATCTATTTAGATTGTCGCGTTGTTGATTTTATGTAGCCTGTGTTTACACTAGCCAGTCTTCAACTGTTTCCCCAAGGGGTGGAGGACCTCTGGGCAGGTGGCCACCAGAAGCGCGATTTTTTAGGCTAGATTATTAGACCAGGGATTTAGCCATTTTTACGATACGTTGTTACCAGTTGTTAAGTGATTACACACTGTTTACATACACTATTACTGTTCTCAATCTGCAAAATATAAAACTTCACGGAGAATTGTCGCCTATGGACACTTGTTTAAGTATACGAGTCGTTTTCAAATGTGTTCGCAGCGAAAAAATATAATTGTCTTCTTTGTATTTATATGTAATTGGGCATGCGGTGTGCCGTTATGGCCGTGTCGATGCACGTTCTTTTCTTTTCACCGTAACAGTTTTTATATTTAAGTAAATGCATATTTTAGAAACACCCCTATTTCTATAACCGTGTGGAATAGGCCATAGGCAAGCTCCTGTATTGGCCATAGACGAGCTGCTGTAAGCAGATATTGGGTGGTTTTTGTGTAGTCGTTGGCGAGTATCCGTTGGGATATTGTGACTTATAGTTTGCACCTTCTACAATATCTTATAAAATAAATGATATGACTTTGTTCATCCGTTTAGTAATTTGTCATGTTGTTGATCTATGTAGCCTGTATTTATACAAACTCTCGGCCGGGGTTTATGACCCCCCCCCCCGCCACGAGCGCGATGTTATGTATTTGACCAGAGATTTTATTTTAGCCATTTTTACGATACGTTGTTACCAGTTGTGAAGTGCTCACACACTGTTTACATACACTATGTCTATTCTGTTCCCAATCTGCAAAATATAAAACTTCACGGAAAATTGTCGCCTATGACTACTTGTTGTCTTTGTATCAGCTGGGCCCCATGTTTGAGAATTATGACTTTATAACAAACCAGTGTTGAATATATCATCATATTGTTGAATATCGTTAGTTGGATTTCTTAAGTAGTTTTTATACTAGGCAGGGTGACTACTTTGTTTCCCGTGCCCGCGGGATCCCGGAAGGTCCACGACCCCACTTTATGTTCCATATGTTCTGTACCATATACTGAAACGAGAGCGTGAAGGGATTTAAATAGCAGGTCGTTTCTTCGGTTGTCTGACTAAAACTTTGGCTTCTATCCGTCAATTTAACGTTCTCCACAGCGTCCATACATTTTATACAGGCAGTCTGGCATCTTTTCAAGCGAAGAGTACAGTAACTAACATTTCTTTATTGACGACCCAGAAGAAAAATTCGTGATCTGTGCCTGAAATAAAATTGATTTCTGATTTCCGATAAAACTTAACACTGTAAACTGGTTCTGCAGCCAAGCGTAACTGTCTGGCTCCTCGGATATTCCTCGATAATCATACAAGCCACATGGTCTACCGTGTCAGCTTTATTGATCATGTTTACTGATATGAGTTCCGAACTAAGCACAGTTGAGGTTGTATGTGCTTGCTGCACAATCTGCCTGTCATGTTGTACCTGCATGACTGGCATTGTGTGTTAGTTTTCATGCACTGCATGTGCTTATTACTGATTATCATTATGGTTACGTGCACTGAATACAGCCTGGGACAATATGATCGTACCATATTCCTGGTCACCTGAGAACGTATGTTGGGTTCCTTTTGTAACCTGAAGCTTTCTGTTTGATGGCTGTAATGTAGATTTAATCATTTGATAATAAGATGGCATTTTGTACATCGATTTGAAATGCTCATATGTGGTTCTCATAGTTCTTAACAATGCTGGTGATGATATAGCAATCTCAACCTCCTTCTTCAGTCATTATTAAACTTTGGCAGAAAAACTGAACACGATACTCTTTTATGTAATTTTTGTCGTATTTTGTATTCTATTAGGATTAGCCTGATATCAGAGGATACAGAGATGTTGACTGGTAAAAGACAAACATTCATCTTTGAGGTATGATTACAAAGACTATGTTGTTGGAGCTACCCTTTTCTTGACAATTTCTGGTCAACCATTTGATGAAGAATTAGGTTAGTTGGATAACACTCCCTCTTCAGTAGTAGGTCATCACAAATTGCAACGGAAGAAGAAAGTAATGAAAAGCTTCAAGCAGACTACGTGGAGCCATTTTATAGTGTGGCACAAATTACCGTTTGTGTGAGGTTTTAAAACATGTGATAGATTCCAGCTCCAGTAAAAATCCGCCAATTCTATATCAATCCCTCTTGTTACAATGAACTGCGCACCTCAGCAGAATAACACTTTACATTCCCCCATTAACGTCGAGACCACTAGTTTTAAGATTCCACACAACAAGTGTAGGATGGTCCTAATGGTAAAGTTGCTGGTCCGTGATGTGTGGCAATCTAGAAGCAAATGTCCTCACCCTGTCGGTTCTTAGTGGAGTCCCCCTCATCTGTATTCTTCGTACTGACGAGTGACTTACTCGCCCTTGATCCCGAACCACACTTTCCTCTTTTCCCTAAGAACTTGGTGATTCCCTGTGGAAGTAATCCACGGCGTTTGAATAATGAGTGGTGTACACGACTTTCATCCACGATGAAGGGGGGGGGCATAATCTCAACACTTCAAAACAAGTCGAATCAAAGCGCGTGGGAGCTCAGCAATCCTGGGAAACATGAAAAGCGGCTGTTAACAGTCGCCACGCGTGTGTCAGTACTACCACTGCACTCCCTACAGTGTGCCATTTAGATAAAGCCCCTTGAACTTGAAACACATATGTATCCGCGGCCATTTTCTCATGTAATCTTCCTTTACTTGCCGTTGCATCCTGTGACCATAAATTGAAACTTAAAGGCAGTATTTTTTATTTCCATTCTTACATTCTCCTCCGGATTGGCACTTCTCTCAGCTTTAACTCTACACACGGGGAATGTCTTCCGAGTCAGCCCATTGGACCAAGCGACGTGAGCGGCAAGCTTTATTGATAGCGGGTCACCTCTAACCTCCCCTCCATTTTCGCCCGCAGTTAGCGTGATGCGCTCCCTCGCGCGGCGGCGGCGGGAGGCCGTGAGCAGGGTGGTGCGATAGCTTGTGTTGCAGCCAGCGTGGGGTCACCCAGAGATTAACTGTATGTGTAAACCCCCATCGTCTCTTCGGGTCATCCTCGTGCGAAGCCTAAATCACTTCCAGCCTTTCTCCGAGTGAGCCAACAACATGGGTACGAGAGGAGTTTGGGATATTCAACAGTGAGAAGACCGCGTTAGCAGGCGTCAGCGGAGCTCCAGACAAACGTCGCCCTGCAATGATGTGACGCTGATGGTAGGCGGAGACAAACGTGCATCAGGCTACATAAAGAGGAGCTGTTGAATCTATCGCCGAGCCAGGTGTGGTGCAGTACGGTACTGGGGAGACAATGCGGTCCGACAGCATTTAAAAGTCAGCGCCCGAGCACAAGTGTGTAAGACGAAAGATACACCCCGGAGATTCCGAAGACGCAGAGCAACAAGAAGGTACGTAAGGGTAGAGAGAGGAACGGAGGCTACGGAGCGTAGAGTGCTTGAAGAATAGCTTCATTGTACCGCTGCTAGCGATTGTGATTCCGCTCACGTTACGCCACCAAGTTGCTCTTTGCAGCAAAACACTACTGACCGCCAACTTCACACGTATTCAGCCAAGCTTCCTCTCTTCAAGACTTTAGCCTAGTCCGGCAGACAGATGCCAGGCTGCTACATGTTTCTTTCCTTATGCTGAGAGCGAGGTGGAGCATTCCAATCCGTCACGGTTTGCAGTCGTATATCTTTTACTAAAATCGCTTTTTCTTAGCCTATATCCGCGTATTGAGCGTTTGCCTTTCAGGAGCACTGTAAGAAATTAAAAGAATATACCTGGGGGCATTTTTACGAATCTAGGATTTCTCCCCAGACGTCAGATAAATCAATGATGTAAATCATTGAAAAGATTTGGCTGACGTCAAGGAAAATTCCGAACAAAAGCAAGACATCACAAAACATCATCATGCAAGAGACAGATGGTTCTAAAGGTAAGGCTCTTAACTAGGATCTTAGTATCTGTTTTTCCGGCGTCTCACAGACAGTCATGCTGGGTCAGATGCGTGTTGAAAATCTACGCTGTCCTTATCGATCTTTCTCTGGATAAACAGATACGCTGCAAAACTACTCATAATTTTACTGCCAAACGCGTTGTATTTTGCTCGCTCGTAAAATTCACCAAAAATGGGAAATTCTTCTTGAGGTTGGAAATGTCTTGATCTAAAATGTTCAAACAAGGGAACAACGTGAGTTCGTAATATTTCTTGATATAAGAAGAGAGTACCCACAACATTAGTCTTTTTTCGAGCAAAACGTTTGATTGTATATGCACAGTTGAGCGTTCAGCTCGATTGGTCCTACCAGGACCTTTCTGTTGTAATCAAAATGTTTAGCGCCCATCACGCGGTTAGACCGTTCGAATATCATGAATCCGCTCGCTCGGTAACGACTGATACGCGCACAGAATTAGGAATCCGCCGTTCTTGGAAAAAATCCCAGAATTGTCATGTCTAGCAGCATGACATGATACATTTCTGTGTAAGCACGACCTCGCAGTCACGCATGACATAGCACAATTTGATCAGGTGGTATCTTGTCTCCCGAATCCGCAGACTTAGCCCTGTGCCCAGTGAGACCTTGTTAACACTCGTACTCCGAGCCAGTGCACAAATATGTATTTATTGCAGTGAAAACCAATCACCCGTACCAGAGGATTGTTTTTATTCTACCGATTTTTATGAGATTGGAACCTGTACAATATTGCAACCTTCTTAGAAAAAATATGCATAAACGGAGTAGATACAATCTAGTCCCGTTGGGGCGGGGAAATATTCCACATTGTATTATTAGATTCATTGGTAAAATGTTGAGAGCAGGTACCATTTTTGAAGCAAGACGTGTAACCAACATGCTGCATTGATTACCCGCGATGTATCCGACAGCTCAAGTGACCATGATGGGTGAGCATGCCGGGAGTTGTAATCCCAATGTGTTCATGATTTCGACTTCAAGGTTTCGGTCATGAGGTCTCGGGAGTATGCAAAATGACGGATTGCTTCTTTAATTTGATGAAGCTGTTTTGAGCTGGTTACTGATTCTTTGATGCACAACGAAGAACCTTGTTGCAACGAAGAACTTTGCTCCACATTTTCACAGCCATTACACTATGACACGATTCCTAGATCCACAATATCACTAGAAGCCTGTCTAATGTAAGCATACATATCGGGCAACCCCATTTCATTTCTCTGAAGCTCTTAACCGTTTCCCCGAAGGTAACCTAGATGATAAAGGCAACTTCCCAACGTATCGCCCCTTTCCGTCTGTGATAGGCAGTCCATAAGTGCCAACGCCTCCATTTTCACGGCTGGATTCGTCATCGCACGACGCTTTGTGCTCAATTTGAGAGGATGTCTCTGATAGTTCCGTCATCAACAGCATAATGTAGGACTATCTCGCCAGAAAATTAGTTTTTTTTCTAATCTGCCGGGAATATTAAACGATGTAACATTTTCAAGGTGACGGTAATACCTTGACTTGTTGTCAAGTTAGTTGGTTTACTTTGAGTATATGGCAATACCGCTTTCTGGCAATAGCCTGTGCTTTATGGCAGTTTCGAAACTGTCAACAAAAGGGATGCTAAGGTCGTCAACGGGAAATTGTTATAAAATTACTGTAACATCATCTTAACTGTGGGAGACTTTTGATAAATGCTGTTTGTGGAGGGGTTTCAGTGGAGAGCGTACGTACTGGCCACTTCGACAGGACATTTTACTTCAAACATTTCACAGACACACACACACACAAGCACACGCACACACAAGATTAATACATGGCATTAATACATGTCATTATCAATGGAGTTGATATGATAATCGTGTCCAATGAAATTGAAACAATATATTCACAGGCTTAGCCATTTGCGTGTCGTAGTAAAATAGACAGTACAAGCCTGGACATCCCCTAAAACACAATCCCAACAGTACCAGTGCTGGTTCGGCCACGATCTGGGTTAAATGAGGCCAAGGTTTCCTATTTGCATTCACCAGACGCACTATCGTTTGCATATTTCGGTAGAATGTCGCTGTTGGTATAGAAGCTAGCATAGGACCGAAGGCAGCGTGAGAAACATTTCCTTTAATCATGAATGAATTAATGAAAGACCTTCATTGTGCATTTATACCTAAGTACAGGTCATGCTGATAAAGTTCTGTGTACAATGATGCCAGTCTGGTATCTTACTACATCTATAGCATACTGTGTACCGGTTCAACTTTTTCTCGCTTACAAAACAGTTGTTAGAGTAAGAACAGATGGAACATGTAATAAATGGTTTATCAAATGACATGAGGTAAATGATTTTTTTCTTTGCTATCTAAATATCTAAAACTAGAAAACTTATCTTGTGACAAGAATTTCACGACCTTACACATTCGGCAAATGATGTTAACGGTTTCAACATTTTATACACAATTATACATTTTTCTCGTTGAAAATACAAATGTGAGCCTCGAGCTCACTTGCATGAAATATATAAATTGATCATATTCTACACCCAATAAGAGTCTTATCGTAACAAAGGTATTTCCTTGTAGATTATGTAAATGAGGTCCTGTTTTTGACGTAACTTCCAAATGTGGCAAGTATTGAATTCCGGAAAGTTTCCACTACAGAATTATAGCAATTGTCATTAATCATGCAAATTTTCTTCATTTACATAATATCTGACGATGTTCCTCTCGTTCTCAATTACATATTCACAAGTGTTTCATAATCATGTTATTAAACGCAGCAGAATTTTACAACTTAGCTCCCGACTTGCATAACTGTTATCTATTTTTTCAATAAGCTAACTTCGAAATGAAAATGACGACGACCCGTCAACCATTTCTTCAGATATCCTCCCTTAAAGATTTTCAAACAAACTGTCCTGCAGTTCCAGAAAAGGTGCTAGGGGTCAAACTAATGTCACTTCTTGTGTTCATCCGAGCATAAGAGCTATCGACCATTCAAAATTTGTGACCCTCGCATGTTCAGATCGAAAATATCAAAACCGGCCGTTTCGCTGCAGTACCAAAAGAAGCCGCCAGGAGCCCAAAATCTAATCATTTTCAGGTCTCATCAAGCCCTACCTACTTAACAACTTACATGACAATTCATCCAAAGTCTCTTGAGTTATCGTGCAAAACGACAAACAGACACACACACACACACACGCACACACACACACACACACACACACTCACTCACACAAACGCTACGGAAAACGTAAACTTCTTGGCGAAAGTAAAAAAAATGTCTTGTTATTTGTTTTGTTATTCATATTATATGGTACGATCCACAGTAGAATGTCACTCGTCTTCTATCTTAGTTCGGTTACAATATTGGCAAGATGTTTGTAAGATGTAACTGAGTTTAATTCTTTCTAAAGTACGTATCTCCCACCGATGTAATAGGACGCTAACCTACAGCTCACGTGCAGACGATGTACGGCAGCTGTGGAGCATCCTTCGTTGAAACGTGGTCTGTCGATACTGTGTGACATGCACCTGATCGCAACGACTCACACCGTTAGCATTAACAGATCTTCTCATTGTGCATGCATGAATAGAAGGTATGCTCTATTTCAGGCCAACTCTCGCTAGCGTGTTGTTCTCGCGAGATCAGATGATAAGAGAACATCTATGCAGAACACGTAACAGGGAGAGCCAGGGGTTATATTGAAAAACACTCCTTTATCCCGTTTTATATCACCTCACGACTTTTCCAGGCCACCCTGTGCCCACAGAGGCTCGCCATACCATCACAAATCGCTTTGGGAAAAAGGAAACGAAAGACTTTTAATGGATATGATGTAGTGCAAGCTCATTACTATTCTCTTCAATGATCTGAAGCATCACTGGCTTTAATTTGATCTAGATTTTATGACTACCAGAAAAACAAATAAATGATGCCCAACCCTAACTCACGTAATGCTGCTCGTGCTGCATCCGATATCAGCTTGAAAATTTATGTTTGTTTGTAACTCAATTAGTTGGATGTCGAAAGGTACATCTGGGAGTTGGTCATAATAGCCTACAAAGAATATCGGCTATATATTTTGGTGGCATTACAGATTGGGTTGTGACATGCAGAGGATTAAAACGGTTACATCAGCATAGGTGGAAGGAGATTGGTTAGGTCGGAGATTTTGTAATATGGTGGCTGAACAGGCTTCAACGTATCATAACAGGTTAATCAAATTGTACGCTTTTTGGCTAAGTTGATTTGATAAGTTCTAAGAATTAAATAATATCTTACATACATTTACTCTCCATACAGTACCTGGCATACTTGCACTGTGCTTCAAGATATCTATGCACAAATTGTTTCATTACATTTACCACCGGAATATGTCCCTAAGAGCCTCTCCTTCCTTGACTTACATCTTATTCTTGACTGCTCGTGGTGAATGGTGTAGG